ACATGAAAGGTCAGCGACCTCTCTAATCGTCTGAAGCGCATAAGGAATTACGACCCCCCCCCCTCCTCCTCCCGACAGCAAACGAATACGATTCTCCCTTCGCAACGTCCCTGAAACAAGAAAAGTCAACTATCAAAAAAATTTTCTCAGCCCAAATATGACCCCCTCTCCCAGCGTCCAGATACGACCTCCTCCCCGGGTTGGGGAATCCCAAACAACGATGTGCCCTGGAACAAAAGCATGTTCATCTAGCCTTTCCAGACTTGAAGAAGACATGGAGAAAACGAGAGGTTGTATTTAGCAGACACGAGCAACGTGTCCGTTGTGCAAAAAAAATGTCAAGCCCCGGCTTCTTTCTATTCGCTTCTTTCCAACAGACGTCGCCTACGGTATCGCTTAGTAGAGCAGCTGACTTGCCTCGTGTATCAGATATGACCGCCTTCCTTTTCCATTGTCACTACGACTTTGGCACACTTACCATCATTCTACGTATTTTAAGGAAAATCACTCACGTAAAAACACCATGGCTTCGGTCCCCCCAGTTTTCCTGCCCTTCCCTCCATTTCTAAAGCGTAGGCAGTTGAAGAACCATCACGCCACTTTCCGTTCTTTACTTCCTGTACAAAACCGGTGAATATTAACGCAGACGGATTCTTTTTGTTTTTTCTTCTGTGGACTTGAAACACCAGCTCTGCAAAAAGAACATGAGTCAGAGACAATCCCATCTAAATCAACAGTGAGCTTTGATAATGCGTGCGTAGAAAAATCTTCTCACGTCGCAGCTGCAATCACAAGCTGCAAAAAATGCTTCATTCTCGATCAGCGTTGAAAGTGAATCGGGAATCGAAAAATGGTGACGTCTTTGGCTTGGTCTATACAAAGTTGTAAAATGTGATAAAGACAATTCCCGCGATCAAGTGTTGCGGGTAGTTGGTGCTCCGTCATGAACCAGTATCCCATAGGTAGCTCCTCAGTAGAAAAAGAAGCGAAAAAACCTCGGGAACACCTTGAACACAGACTTCACCTCAGCAGTCTTGGACGAGTACGTCGGGCGCGAAGGACGCGCTCTCCATAGCGATTGGAGCGCAAAGCTTGAGCCGTGGGACCGTGGCGTTAGTGCCAGGCAAATCCTGGCCAAGCGATGCGATATTCGTGTTCGGAGGTTGAAGGTCTGGGAACAAAATTTTCAGCCTTTTTCTTAAAAAGCTCGATGGTAAAACTGGTCTGATGTTGGAAGATGGGGTAGTAACAATTGAATAATGCCCCCATCTGAAAGATGTGAGTCTGATAAATACACTAACAGCCCTTCAAGTCCTTATCCTCCTTTTGCCATGAGTACGGATGACGAACTACCTGCTCTTCAGTTCACGTCCATCCCATCACTTGCAGAGTATGAAACTCAAGAAAGGCTTGCTGCTCTTTTGCTGACATCCTCCTAATTGGGATCGCGCTTGCAAGCACTATGGAACCCTAAAACAGGCCTAACGCCGTCTTCAATTTTGAGCTTCAACGGCGCGAGGTATGCGGCTTAAAGGCACGTCGCGTATAAAACTAGGGCTAGGTTCTCATAACCGTGCCCGACGGTCAAGCAGGCAACGTCAGAGGCTATGCTGCTTACAAAAGTTGAAAAACAGCAAGCGGAAACGCGCGCGTTCAGCTTTTAGGCCCATTGGCGCCCGATAGGCCCATGCCGGCCTCCGGTGATCGTGTCGTTGTGACATTGCCATTGTGCTCTCTCGCTCGTCGTTTTCTGGCCTCTCTCGTCTCTTATCAGTGTCTCGCCGCCTTTTGCCATCCACAATCGATCTTGACCACCTTACGCTCGTCCGGTGATCATGATCAATTGAAATAAAGAGGGTCTTATTGCGGGCGCTTTTTCGTGGTTCCTTCCCTTCAATAAGTCAACAACCACAGGGCAATCTATTTTTGAACTGTATTACCTATGAAGTGTGGTCGCGGGAAGTGCCTTTAATCGCTTATGGAAAGCGCGGATCACCGAAGATGGCAAATTGCCTAGAAGCGCCGCACGCAACACGTGCCGCGCGGGTGTTGTAGAAATAGAAGCTGCTTGCGAGCCGTTGTCTCGTCCAGCTACAGATGATGTTGCCACTGTTGCCACGCGCAAATGTCTCTAACTTCTTTATCACGGGCCGTCGTTTTGTCAAGGACGAAGCGGTGGCATGTCCTTGTGAACGCGATGTAAACAGTTCAGAGACACGAAGTCATTTGAGGACCACTCGACGCGGGGATGTGCTTGAAGGTGATGATTGTTCTATTTCGATGGACTAAAGGTTCCCGGAGTCTTTGGACAACTTTCTACCCTGCTTCCAAATTGAAGAATGATTGGCCCTTACGCCCCACGCGAATAGTTAGGCTGGTGTATACTTTGCGGCAGCGCAGCGTAGCGAGCCCGTAGCGCCCAGGTAGCGTAGCGTAGCGCTTCCAGCGTACGCCAGCGGCAATGCCGAAGAGAGGATGCATATCGATCTAGCTTCACCAGCGTCACCAGCGGCACGCTGGCGTACGCTAGCGGCACGCTAGCGTACGCTAGCGTTTCTCCAGCGTTTCACCAGCGTTTTGCTAGCGTTTGCAGGCAGGGGCAGTCAGAGGACTATGGGAGAGCTGGAGGGACAAAACACATCGATTGCCCGTATCTCACTCGCCCTTAGTCTCTACAATGCACATCGCTTCTGCGTCTTCGACGGGCACATAGTCTCTACAATGCACATCGCTTCTGCGTCTTCGACGGGCACATAGTCTCTACAATGCACATCGCTTCTGCGTCTTCGACGGCGCACATCAGTCTCGATACAATGCACATCGCCTTCTGCCGTTCCCCTCCGACACGGGCACATAGTCTCTACTCCCTGCCGCTGCAAGCGCTAGCAAAACGCTGGTGAAACGCTGGAGAAACGCTAGCGTACGCTAGCGTGCCGCTAGCGTACGCCAGCGTGCCGCTGGTGACGCTGGTGAAGCTAGATCGATATGCATCCTCTCTTCGGCACTGCCGCTGGCGTACGCTGGAAGCGCTACGCTACGCTGCGCTACGCTACGCTACGCTACGCTACGCTGCCGCAAAGTATAAACGCAGCCTTATTTCTGCATTCTGCGAGCCGGACACAAGACACGCGGGGCAAGTTGGATCAAGCCACTCCCCAGTCAAGCGCACTAACTAGCGCGACATCAAGTTTACTCCGCATACCGTGACATTCTACGAGCGATTAATCAACCCAAAGGTGGGGAATCGTCTCTATTTCGCAAGAGTACTCGTGGTTCATGCCCGAGAATTCCATCACGGATGATTCCATCACCGCTAGACAGGTGATGGAAAGGTACCAAGACATGCGACGACCCTGCTACGTAGTCTCGCTGGATCTTGAAGAGGCGTTGGCCACCTAGTCTGGCATTTGTGGAAAGCGTTCCGACACATAATGTAATGTGCCCGAGTTGGGGCAGTCCGGCAACGGTGAGAGGGGCACTTTGCCACTATTTCCCTAACTTCATCAGCGTGTCGACTCATCTAGACAGCCTCTTCTTGAGTTGACAGGCTCTACCATGATGGCTTGACGGGTTTGACCCAGCTTCACAAGAGTTCACAGGTTTCACCATGACACTTGTCAACCGGAGCAAAATAAAGTACACACGCTCCCCCTCGCCAAACTGCGCCCACTCGGTATCTATAATATAATGAAGAGCATGTACGATAAGGCTAAACAAGGGAAGACAAGGGGGAGGTCACTCCCGGGCAAATCTCAAGAGATGCATATTGTTGTACGCTCCTACGCGGTGAACGCGAATCTGCCTTTGAGAATAAGACGTGTTCAACCGCACCTGGCCCCGTATTCTTCACGAATGGTGCGTATTCTTGGAAGTAGGGCACATCGTTGCTGAGTATTCTCCATCAGGGGTCGTATTTGGTCGCCGGAAGAGGGGGGATCGTATCTGGGCTGAAAAGATTCATGTTTGGAGAGCTGCTGATTTTTCTTGGACAGTTGTAAAGGAGGGGAGTCGTATTGCTCTGTTGTATGGGAGGGAATGCTCGGGTGTTTCCCTTTTACGAGTTGCCGAGGTATGCTGACCTTTGTGGGAGATTTTTTATTCCGTTCATTGTGTACATAAAATACCCCTCTCCCCCCTCGACAGCAAAACTTTCGACTGAAAGTACGAAAATTCTTGGGGAATTCCAGAGGAGGTGGGAGGAATTTGGGGAAAATCCAAGAAATGGTAGAGGGGGGGGGCGTATTCCACTTTTCCACAGCTCGATGAGGAGGGGCAACCCCTGGAGAAACAGAGATGGTCGTTCGGATCGACCAAATCCCCAAACACGATGTGCCTGCTTGGAAAGTGTGATAAAAGCGCGATTCAAATTCGCCACAGCGTATTCTGAGAATGGAGGTACACAAGAGGTATAGGGTCAGCCCAGAGATCGTCACTGATCAGGATCACAGACTGAACCATGCACACAGAAGTGCGCGTCAGCTAAACTGGTGCATATAAAGTTCATACTGGCGGGGGATCTTATCCAAAGCCTTTTGAAAGATTTCCTCTTCTCTCTTTTCTCACTAATGACTCACTAGCCGCTTATCATTAGTATTCGAGTCCCACTACCCGTTTTTATTATGGGACGTACCGTCAGGGGGTAGGCTATATCGTGAACACAAATGGATATTCAAGTGCTAAAGCTGGCTCTAGGTGAAAACGAGCAACTCATCACAATTACTGCTCTGCTTGAGGTGATACTGTACTCACAATATTGCTGATCGAGCCATTGTATACTCGAAATCCCTGAGATCGGGTAGGCGTGGCCGCATGTTTCAACTTAACCTGAAGGTGTCTATGCTTCTGGTGAGATATTTTCATCTTGACACAATTGTTGTCGTGTCTCTGTCCAACACAGAACAAGATGACAGTTGTCCCAGACTGGAATATTCCACGAGTAACCAATTCCGTGCCATGTTCAAATGCCACGCCTACTCTGGCTCAGGGATAAGGAGTGTATTTCTTGGAGGTGAACATTTACATGTCTTGAAGCGAATGAGAAAAATTTGGTAACCTGATAAGTAGGATCCTTCATCCTTCGAATGGAGTGACACCAAATGAGCACGTTGTTCCTTGCAGTAATTCTCAGCGTCAGAGAAAGTGAATGTGTGACGGGAAATTCTTACGGCCTCTACCAACTGAAAATACAAATTGTTGTAACAAATGATTCCCCTGAATCGCAGAAGTCAGTTTGATTGCATCTCCAAAAGACTCACCTTGATCCTTGCATCATCTTCACTGCCTTCTAGTGAAACCCACTCCCCTCTTTTGGCTAATCCAATTGCTTTGCTCGTAACGTAGGTGCAGGTGGTTGAATAGAGGCACGAGAATACGAAAGCAACGCGAAGAATGTGTCGGAACCTCCACATGGCAACACACCGCACGAAATGATTGCCTCCTCCATCATCGAGCTTATCTTACGTTCTTTATCACATTCTTATCACTTTTACCCATAATTCGTGAACACTATGTACTCAACCGGCAAAAACCCGCTCAGTTGATACTAACACGTAGGATCGCTAGCTAACGTCGGCGCTCCTCCATCTGTGATGGGGCGGGCGCTGCTTTGCTTCTTCGTCTTGACGGAGCTGGCGCTGCTTTTCAGTTCTTGGTTGATGCAGAACATTCCTTTGAACTGAAGAACTTCTTCTGTGGAAACTCTTCGCGAGGTTGATGTACCACTTTATTCGGCTTACGCACGTTTCGGCGAGACCGCCTTCATCAGAGCCTGAAAGGACCGAAACGATTTGCGACTCCACGAGTAGAGAGTATGAGGAAGTAGGAAGGGAGCAGACAGCTGGATCAGGCGTCGTAAAGTTGTGGCGCGTGCAACCGTACCGTACTACGACACAATACCGTACTCCTTATCGCTATGGACGATTATTGTCGCTGGCAGACGCCCTAACGATATCCA